ATTAAAGACAAATTTGGAGATTTCAATGTTAAAATTGGTGAGAAAAACGCTCGCGAATTTGTGCTAATAGTTGCGTCTTTGGTAGAAGTTAACCAATTGAATAGATTTAAATTGCATTCAAAATGTCGACACTTTTCATGTGTTATTTACATTCTTCTAGTGAAAAGTACAAATAAATATACTTTAGTGAAATTTCTCAATTTTCAAGTTGAAATTGCAAATAAATGTGTTAATACCTGGAGTTTGAAGCCGATTTCTAATTTCTTACTTTTGCACTGTTCAGTCCATTAAAGTGTCAAATAGTGGTAATAAAAAACTTGGAAGATACCAAAATTTTAATTAATAGGAGCAATTATCATTTTGCAGCCCCAGAGCATAAAACAGTTTTAAAAAGCAGCTCGAATAAAATGATAAACAGTGTGCAACCGCCGGTTAATCTGAAGAGGATTTAGAGAGGATTCTAAAGAGGATTCTAGAGGGAGAGGAATCTTAGAGAAGATTCGGGAGTTCTAATTGGTAGCAAGCAAATTTATTTGCAAAATTTACAAGAAAGTAGAAAATTGATGATATTGGATCCAATGCATCAATAAAAACAGGAAACCGCTTGAAAAAAACTGTAATGAAGAAACCTAGTGTGAATGAAATAGAAGACGTACAACACACAAATCAATCATCCACAATTCATTTCGTCATGCAATCGTCACATCAACAAACTCACAAATTTACATCGCAACAGGCAGTTCTGCACACAAAACTTTTAAATATCGTTTAAGCATGTTAGGGAAAAACAAGAAAGACTTTTTGGAATAGAATGTATCCACAGAAAAGAATGTGAAGGAAAATTTCACTATATATAGGACAAAGTTTTATTTGATGTTCCCAGTTTGAATCACTTTCAATATTTTCTAGTCGTAAGTTTTGAAGCAAAAATATCGGCAATTTATAAAAAGCTATGTGGGCGTCCCAGTGACGTGGTGCGACGACGTCTTGGAGTTGTTTCTAACCCCCGTCGTCACGACGTTCGAAAGTCATTTGAGGGAATTAGAAGGATGTTTATGTAACGGTTGGAGGTCTCACAATACCGCTTAGCAATGATGTCGTTTCCCATTAACAAATAAACGCTCACTATGTACATTCGCTACAATTAAAGACGTGCATGGTTTCGGAGTTAGTAGTTCAGCAATATGTTTTCCAGTTTTAGATCCTCATTTCCCACGTTAATGGAATAGATAAAATATCCTTGACACTCACTAAAAACCCCCAAATGGTGGAATACGAAAGCAGGCTCGAATAATTCAATTAAGCTAATGTTCAATAGTGGAGCACGACCCGATATTTATGAAATTAGTATTTTGATGAAAAAGAACACACATTGTGTATAAAAGCATTTATGTTTTAGCCGTCAGTGCATTCAAATTTTTATTGCTACTCTACTTCTAAGAAAGTAATTAGTAGAGGAATACAGGCATTTTTATAATATTCTTGTTCAAAATGTGTCTTCATGTTCTAAAAATGCTTGATGTTCGTCTATAAAACCTATTATTCCGTCATGAAATACAAATATTTGAGAACTTGATGCCGCTTGATCGATTTAATTACACAGAAAGCTTAAAACTTAATACGAAACATCGGCAACTTTTCAAACGAGATAATTTAGTTTAAATTCACGATTTCTAACATAAAAGCAAAGTAAAAGTTTTAAGTTATAAGGGCTAGATTTTTACACACGGAAAGGCGATAGAACATTTAAATTTTCTATTAGCAGTAACGTAGACATCACGTAAAGCGATCAAAAATAAAATAGGAAATGAGTCAAATTAAGTGAAATAAAAAAAAATTGCCTTAAGTATCTGATATTCAAATTTCGCTTTCTGGGTCAAAACAAACTGGATCTTGAAATCAAAACTTTTTTGAGAAAACTGCCAATATTTCCTTATCGATTGTTTACTTTTTAAAAAGTCCTTTTAGTTCTCTCTGGAATGATATAAAAATGAGCGTTCTTGGTCATTTTGCTTCCAAGAAATAACTGAAATGACACTCTTATTCTTTCATTTATACTATTTAATTAACTTAATTTTAATCTTAATTTTATCTTTTAACTTAACTTAATTCTACTGCCCACTATTCAAATATCAGCTGATTTTATTTATCAGTTCCATTTTATATTTAATCAACAGTGTGAGCTTTAATTAGTTGTTTTCGAAGAGCTATATATTTTCTAATTAAGTGAGAGTTGAAATCGGCATATGAAAAGCTTAATTATTGCTTTGCAATTTTACCGTTCACACTCACCCACAAACAGACGGGATTTCAGTTTGAAATGCGTGATTAAACCAAACACTTGGAGTGAAAAACATTCGATGAGATCAAATTGTACGTGGTATTTGCCTAATACTTCTCGAGTTGCTTTCCTTTCAATTAAAAATCCCAATTTGCAACTTGATATTACTAATATAGAAGTTCACATTATAATAAAGCTGAAAATGATACATTCCACATGAATATTGTTTTTCGACAATTTCAATTGATAACGCATCTAAGACGGTGGGAGGAAAAAATTAAGCAAGAAAGGAAAAAAACCAGCTACTTAAGAAAAACATGACCTAATTGACCCTACGTTATTTTATGTAAAATATCAATAAAGATTAACAATATTTCCTTCATCTAATCCCAGGTTAATTGGATTGGCTTACTTGTTAAGATTAACAATGGTGAAAATTCCAAAATAATGATAAAACCAAGTGAACGTTGATCACGTTTTATTCTATGTGAGAAAAAGTGTATTAAATCCACATGATGTTATAAGTATTACATTTGATAACGTTTTATTTGGTCAGATTTTACGTCACAACTTTTAAATATAAACTTAAAAATAAAATTAGCTTAGTTAGTTTGTGACTATTGTGACTTGACTTAATTGGGAGATGGATTAAACTGTATTTTCTACTTTTAGTTAATTGAATAAATTGACTTGATTGATTTGGTTTATTATAATTCGATTTTTTTGGATCTTGACA